TGGTTGCAGAGCTGAGCTTCGGCCGCAGCCACTGTGGTTGCTGCGCTGCTTCCTCGAGGGGCCCGCTGGCCCACTCTTCCAGGAGGCTTCGTTCTTCCCTGGATTTTCCCGTGTTTCTTCTTCTGTGTGCTGGTTGGGTCTGAATGCCTTTAGCTGTTGTGTATCAGGGAAGGTTTTTTCCCCCTCTTCCATCACAGAGGATATCCTTGCTGAACACACGAGTCATCTTTCATAACCTAAATTACGTCCTTCCTCGCCCTCCTCGTGCTCAGTGTTTTTGTCCAGAGATACGCCAGTCTCGTGGGCTTGCCCTCGTATGCACCCTGTCTCTTCTTTTCTGCTTTCAATGTTATTTTTACTATAACATATCTGGTGTGTTTCTTCTCTGATCTTGCCTGTTTGTTGATCTGAAAGTCTCCTCCCCACGAACCACTCTCACTTGAAGTTTACTGGCATTATTATTATTGCCAGTCCTGGGCACTGTCCCTGAGCTTCTTTTGCTCAAGGCTAGTGCTCTACCACTTGAGCCACAGCGCCGCTTCTGGCTTTTTCTGTTTATGTGGTGCTGAGGAATTGAACCCAGGGCCTCATGCATGCAAGGCGAGCGCTCTACCCCTGAGCCGCCTTCCCAGCCCTCTGGCGTTGTTTTGTTAAATGAGTCTTGGATACTCTATCTCTTCTTCCTGTATGCCCATGACGCATGTGTTTGATCTTTTGGTGACTGCTGGAGTTTCCCTGGCCGCTGGTCAGGGTTGGGGACAGAACTGCAGTGTGACCCGCGTAGGGAAAATGGAAAAGGAATAGGCCGGACTTGAGCCAGGACAGCGGGGGGCACAGACCTTCCTGGGGGAGCAGCTCAGGCTGGCCTCGGGCTCGGTCCTCCTGTCTCCGCCACCGTGGTGCTGGGATTACAGGTGTGCTCCACCCACCTGGCTTCAAGCTGGCCCTTAAGATGGCCTAGACCTCTGCTGCTCATGTCCACCACCCAGGACCAGGAGAGGGTCCCCCGCTAACCGCTGTCCTCATGAGCCGAGACGAAGAGCGTGGCAGTCATCCACATTCCTCCGATGAAAACCCAGGGCCCAGAAAGGCTAGGCTCCTTGCTCAAGGACACACAGTCATCTTTCCATGTCCTCAAGAAAACCCGCACATTCTCATACCATGTGTAGCCCGGTGTGTTCCAGGACCCACACGTGTGTGAACGCGTGTGCACACACACACATGCACGCATGCGCGCTGTGTGTCAGGAGGCAGTGGCATGGAGCGTGTGGGCCTGGGACCGGCTGCCCCTGTTCTCTCTTAGCTGAATCACTGTGGGTTCCTGTTACCTTGAAATATTTATGGGATGGTAATGCGCCCGCCCGCTGCCCCTCCTCCCCCATCCTCCCTGATCTGTGGCTGCTGCCCCTCCTCCCCCATCCTCCCTGATCTGTGGCTGCTGGTTCTTCCCTGCTGGGCCGGCCCTGGGGGGCGGTGAGCACCGCAGGGTTTGCTTCCTCCCGGAGGTCGCGGCGGTCCTGGTCCAGCACACTTCCTGTGCCCGCGCCGCCGCCGCACCTCACCCCGTCCCCGGGTCATCTGACAGCAGCCGGGCCAGAGAACCCGGCTCACGCCGCTCTGCCCCAGACCTGACTCGCGTCTGATTCATTGTCGGTGTTACCTTCTGCGCCCCACGCCGCTGCAGCGCCCTGGGCTCCGTGGCTCCCACAGCCCCCGGGGAAAGGCAGCGTCCTCCGCAGCCGTCCTGAGCGCTGCCCCTCCCTCCCTCCCAGACCCACGGCCCCTCCCGAGCGCAGGCCCCGCGTGCACCTCTGCAGGTGGGTGCGAGCACTGCTCCTCCTCGAGATCACACCCACGTCATTCTGTCTCGGTCAGCCTCCCCCAGCGGCCCCGCACAAGCGTGTGCACACCAGTGGGGCTGCGCACAGCGTCTGTGCAGCCTTAGCAGACAGCCACGGCTCTGCGGAAGTCATCGTCCCCCATGACAGAGCTGAGGTCGGGCACAGACGGGCCTGGGCTCAGACCCTGCGCTGCGGCCAGTGCTGAGCCACGCTAGACCAGTGGCCTGACCTCTCTGAGCGTCAGTCTCTCCCTCCTGTGAAAGGGGAAGGTGTTTTCCTCATGGTGCCAGGGACCCTGACTGACTTTACCCATGGCTGGCAGACAATGAGAGGCGTCCGGATGCGGTGCCCAGGGCTGTGCCGGCCACAGGGCTCTGGGTACCCTGTCCCCCGTCCCTCATCCTCTCTGGCCGCAGGGTCAGCTCTTCAGCTCTGGGTGCCCCCGTCCCCCATCTCCTGCCCCCCCCCGTCCCCAGTCCCCCGTCCCCCTCCCTCATCTTCTCTGTGGCAGCTGTGGCCGGCACCCGAGCCCCAGGCCACGGGACACCTCTCCCAGTGAGGCCGGGCGCCACACAGCCCGGATCCCACAGGACCCTGGCAAAGCTGGGGCCAGCAGGGCCCCCCTTCCCTCCCCAGCCAGGACGGGGTCCTGCATCCCCGCAGGTACCAGAACGCCCTTCGCCAAGCTCAGTGCTGATCAGGGAGGACCTTCTCCCCCCCCGCCCACCATGCCCCCACCATGCGAGCAGGCGGAGACCCCAGACGAAGCCCCACACCCACCACCCACCCAGGTGAGGGGGACCCCTCAGGCACCCCCACTTCCTTTACAGCAGGGTCAGGAAGGAAGTGCCCTGCTCCCACCTCCCGGCTGGCTGATGGACAGCCCCTGTGGTCTGAGGGAGGAGGGGGCGGGGCCTGGCGGTGGCTGGTGCGCGGCGTTGGGTGGCTTTAAGGACTTTTCGGGTTGTGGAGCTTCCCCCCAGCACGGCTGCGGCGGGCTCTCTCCCGGGGCAGCGGCGCCCGTGGGTTCTGCTGTGGCTGGAAGGCAGCTCCTCGCCCCTTCCCTTTTCAGGGATCTCCGCCCCTCCCCCCAGATAGCAAGAGCAGGAGCTCATTATGCTAAGCAGGAGAGAAAATTAAAAAGCAGAACTGCGGAACCACTCCCCAGCCTGTCACGCCGCCCACGCCTCTCGCCTCTCGTGCAGAAAGCCTTTGACACAGAGCCACGTCTGCACCGTACGGGCTGTGCAATTCACACAGCAGTTGCTTACCCTCTCTGTGCCTCTGTTTCCCAATCTGTACCAGCGGCTGCAACAATCCACACCTCGTGGCATTCATACATCTTGGGTGGCTTAAAGCTAGTCGGGTGCTGCTGGCTCAATCCTATACTCCTAGCTACTGCAAAATCAGATTTGAGAATCGCAGTTCAAAGCCAGCCTGGAAAGAGAAGTTCACGAGACTCTGATGGCCAGTTAACCACTAAGGCCACAAAGCCAGAGGTGGAGCCATGGCTCAGGTGGTGGAACACCAGCCATGAGCAGCGCCCAGGCCCTGAGTTCAAGCCCCAGTATTGGCACAATTATTTTAATTAAGATAAACCTCTCTCTGCATATCACCTTTTTTTTTGTCGGTCGTGGGGCTTGAACTCTGGGCCTGGGCGCTGTTCCTGCGCTCTTCAGCTCAAAGCGAGCGCTCTACCGCTTGAGCCACAGCGCCACTTCTGGTTTTCTAGTGGTTTATTGGAGATAAGAGTCTCACAGACTTTCCTGCCGGGGCTGGCTTTGAACCGCGACCCTCAGATCTCAGCCTCCTGAATAGCTAGGATTGCAGGCGTGAGCCACCGGCACCCGGCTTGCATATCACCTTTATGATAGCAATTAAAATTAATAAGTAAAACTACAATGAAAGCCGTTGGGGGTGGAGAGGCCTGGGTGGCTGTGCGGCCATCTCTGCCTCCCAGGCCAGGTCTCTCGGGCGGCCACCAGCTCTGGCCCGTGAGCTCTGCGCCCCTGACCTCGGCCCCAGCCGGCCCTGAGGGGCCACCTCTCCGGTTCAGTTCACCTCTTCCGGCTCTCCAGCTCCTGGAGAGGCAAAGGCCAGGTCTGGCAGGCCCTGCAGGCCGCGGGGCGGGCTCTGTGGGCGGCTGCGGACCCAGCAGGAATCCCACCCACGCCAGGGCCGCCCTCCTGCCTGTGTAGAACAGCTGCTCTCCCAAGGAAGTCCACACGGAAGGAAGCAGCTTCAGAAAGAGGAGCCCATTCCTCTTGACCCTGATTGCTGGATCCAGCTGTCCCTGAAGCCGGGTCTGCCTTGGGGTCAGAGGGCCCGGCGTGTTCCCCAGCCCTCCCCCAGCGGTGAGCGCCCCTACCGCCCCACCCCGCCCTCCTTCCTCCCGCTCTCCTCCCCTGCCAGCTATTGGGTGATCCGTCCTAATGTATATTTAACAGCGGCTCAAAATCAAATTAACTTAGATTGGCTAATAAACTGCAACATCCGTTTCTAAATCAAGCTACATTTTCCTCTCGAGCAGCTGAATTCACGCCTGTTGGTGTCATTGGTTGCCGTTGTAATCCTTTAACGCTGGTGCAATTGTAAGGACTTCCCAGGGAAACGGTGCGCCTTTGGTTATCTTGGGCAAATCACTATCATTTCTTGCCCTGGTTTTGGGGAGCGCGTGGCTGAGGGTGTGTGGGACCCACTGCCAAGAGGCTGGGGTGCCCCCTGGGGCCCGAGGCTTTTGCGGGGTGTGCGTTTACTGAGCGCTGACGGGATGGGCCAAGCAGACATCCTCTGGGGAAGAGGGGAGAGGTTGGGGCATCTGCGGATCCCAGCTCCGGGGTGGGGTGCCAGTTTGGCCCGGAGAGGACAGGGCGGCCCCTCCGTCCGGGCCTCTGTCGGATGCCCCGGCCCTGCCACCTCCCCAGCTTGGAATGCGCAGCCTCACCCCAAACACCATGCCAGCGCAGAGGAATCCGCGTCCAGCTCCGTCCAGTGCAGGCTGGAGCCGCCCCGGGCCGGGCCGTCACCCATGGCCCCACTGCAGGTCCCTGGCCGGCCGGCCCGGCCCTGAGGCCAGCACCAGGCAGGGGGGCCGGGCTGTGCCGCCGCGGCTCCCCGGGGCCCCGGGGCCGGCCCCAGCTCTGTCCTCAGCCGTCTGTTCTAGGTGGCCACGCGGCAGGCCATGGGAGCACCTCGCTCTGCCCAGCCTTCCAGGAGGACCTCGCCCTGGCTCCTGCAGGTGGCATTGCGTGCACCGTGCGTGGGACGGGACGTGGGCTCGGGGCTCAGTGGGGTCTGACGGGGCCGGGCGGCACGGGACGGCTTGCTCGCGTGGCCCCCTTCCAGCCAACGCGGCCGGCCAGCGGGAGGCTGGCGTTTCCTGGGGCCGGGCATGCGTGAGCTCTGTGTTCCCCATCACCCAGATGACATTCTGCTTTGTTTTATATTTTATTTTACCTGCTCTTTAAAGACCAAAAAACAATACACAGGGTCTGCACGTAACCCACAGGGCCTTGAGTTCAAGGTCCTCCGGCCTCACTGCTGGTGTACTGGGATTGTGGGCCTAGTCACAGGCCGCCCTCCCTCCCCCTCCCCTCTCTCCTCCTCCTCTTCCTCCTCCCCCTCCTCCTCCCCTCTACTCCCCCTTCCGTTTTTTTCATTTTTTAAAATGACAGTAGCTGGGTGGACACAGTGGTACACACCTATAATTCCAGCGCTTGAGCCAGGCGTAGGAGAATCTCTTGCTCAAAGCCCACTGGTCTTAAACGCTAAAGCCAGAGCCCAGGGCTTAGCGCCCAGGACAGGTGGCTTGGTACTGTCTGGGCACGGCCCCTCCCCGGCCCGGCCCGGCCTCCTGGGCGCAGGTGGCTGTGCGCATGACTCGGTGAAAGCTGCCTGTCCGCCCCAGCCAGCGATGGCTTAGCGTTATTGATCTTGTCAAAAGCAGTAATTCAAGAAAGCCATTGAAATTCACCAGAGGAAGCAGAGCCATTCCGGGTGCAGCAGATTTTTCATGGTTTTGTTATTGGCTGCAGAGCCTGGAGAAAGAGGCGGGGGCCAGGCTGAGAGTCCGAGGCGGACAGGCTGCTTGCAGCAGGAGGACGTGGCCCCGAGGCTGCCCCCACCCTGCCGGAGCCCCTCTCCCGGGAACAGCCACTGACCGCGGCCCTGGGACGTGGCAGCCTTGTCCCCACCTCTTTAATGAAGGCCAAATCCTGGCATCTCTCGGTGTCGCCCGGCGCCTGTCCCTGCAGCCCTGGTGTCCCCGGTGGTGGGGAGTGGGCGGCCTGGACGCGGGGCCGCGTCCTGTGTTCAGTGCGGGCCCTGGCCCGCCCCTCCCCCTGCACAATCCAGTCTTGGGGACTCACATGGCCTGCAGCCCCAGACCACAACTCCAGAACGTTCCGCTTCTGCAGAGACCCTGGTGCCCTCCAAGGCACCAAGGCTTTGGGGCCTGCGATCCGGTCCCTGAGTGCCAGGCCTGGCGCCCGGCCACCCCTGCATGCGAACCCCAGGGCCTGCGGGTCCACGCTGCTCCCCTCCGGCCCTGAGAGCCAGCGGGCAGTGCGTTGTCCAGTGAAGCCTGAAGCCGCCACCAACAGAGCCACAGCCGGAGCTGCCGGCGGCCATGAAAGCCGCCGCAGCAGCTTCAGGGCTCCCGCGCCCCCCAGACTTCAGGAATCAAAGTCTCCCAGCGCCTCTGCGCCACCTGGGAGCAAAGCAGCCCAGCCCGCACCCCAGGCTGCGTGCTGTGAACCCCAGCACCCCAGAAAACCAGTGCGAGGTCAGAGCGCCCCTGAATCCCATGGCTGAGACCACCAGGTCCCCAGCAGCGCCACATCCCTGCCTTGGAGCAAGCTGGCACACGACCTGGCACCCGTGGCTCACGCCTGTCGGCCCAGCTACTCAGGAGGCCGGGATCTGAGGATTGTGGTTCAGAGCCAGCCCAGGCAGGAAAGTCCAGGAGACTTTTTTTTTCTTTTTCTTTTTTTGGGGGGGTCTGGTTGTGAGGCCTGAACTCTGGGCCTGGGCGCTGTCTCTCAGCTCTTCAGCTCAAGGCTAGCGCTCTACCACTTGAGCCACAGCGCCACTTCCGGCTTTTTCTGCTTATGTGGTGCTGAGGAATCGAATCCAGGGCTTCATGCATGCAAGGCAAGCACTCTACCACTGAGCCACCTTCCCAGCCCCCAGTCCAGGAGACTCTTATCTCCAGTAAACCACCAGAAAGCTGGAATGGAGCTGTGGCTCAAGTGGTAGAGCGCCAGCCCTGAGTGAAACCCCTCAAGGAGAGTGCGCAGGCCCTGGAGTGGATTCTAGATGAACCTAGGGCTTTCAGAGCCGGCCACTTTCCCAGCCGTTTCCGGGGCTCGCTGTGGGCCCGGGCCACAGAACACAGCGTGGGGTCAGAAACCGTGACGGAGCGTGGCGGTCCAAGCAGGCCAGCCACGGCACCACACAGAACGTGGTGACAGCAGCCGCACACACGCACGCACACACGGGCAAAACCTGACGTGCAGGCAGCAGGGAGGAGCCCTGGCAGGCCACACACTCCCTCTGGCCCTCTCTATGAAGGGGGCAGTCCCTTACCCCGCTGGGGTGTGGGGGTGTGTGTGCGCGCATGCGTGTGCGTGCACATGCGCTGCTTCTGGGCTTGAACTCAAGGCCTAGGTAGTGCCCTTGAGCTGTTTCGTTCAAAGCTTGTGTTCTACCACTTGAGCCACAGCTCCACTTCTGGCTTTTTGCTGGTTAGAGATAAGAGCCTCAGACTTTCCTGCCCTGGCTGGCTTTGAACTGCGATCCTCTGATCTCAGCCTCCTGAGTAGCTAGGATGACAGGCCTGAGCCACCGGCCCCTCACTCCTGGTGCCTTTTGTTCCTCACAAACAGAGGAAGTGGTCCCCAGGTCCTGGTTAACTAAAGGGCTGAGGGTGTCGCTGCTCATCACGCGGGCCAGGCGCTCCCTTTGCTGCCTCCGCTGCTGCCGACGGCGGCGTCCAGGGCTCTCTGGCACCAGCTCCCGCCCCCCAGCCCCGGGCAGCAGCAGCAGCACCCAGCATGCAGGGAGGGCTTCTCGACCTCGCTGGCCAGATGCAGATAGGGACGCAGCTAATTTCCATCACGCCTGCGTACCGACCCTCCGTTTGCAGTCACACGAATGGCAGCTTACGACTACATGTGCTGCGGCCTCAGTTTGCCTTCATCAGCATCTTAAATCCAAGGTTTGTCTGAGTTGCACCTGGGCGGCGGTTGGGGGGCTGGCGGTCAGGCGAGTCGGGGGAGGGGGAGGGGGAGAGGTGCTGGGTGCGGGCTGAGAGTCTCGGGCTCATGGGCCCACAGCTGATCCCTCTGCCCAGTCTTCTCTGGTCCTGGCGCCCGGAGCAGGGGGCGCGGATGCCTGCCCGCCTGGCAAAGTCTCCGAGGAGGAGGCCGCCGCGGAGTGTCCCTCCCTCCAACCCTGACCCACCCCTGAGGCCCAGAGTGGCCAGCCAGGCTCAGGAAGCCCAGAGCGGCCCCGGGTCTAACCCCTGCTCTTTCCTCCACCTCCTTGCTCACACATGGCGGGCAGGCCAAGAGGTGACCTGCAGGATGGGGATGCAAGCAGCCTTTCAGGGACGGTAATCCTGGGCGCCTGCCCGTCAGGGGTGCCAGCCCACTGGGTGGCGTGGGCAGCGGGCACAGGGTTCCCCTCTACCCTAGGCAGAGCTGGGGGGCGGAACTCCCTGACTGCAGCCTCTCCTCATTCAGCCAATAGCAGTTGGAGTTGCCCCAGTCAACTGCAGCCAATGAGGAGCCAGGTCCCTCCTGCCCAAATCCATGGGGCCAATCAGGGCACGTGCCCCTCATGTCGTGATTGCCTGGGGTACCATGTGACCTGCAGTGGTCACTGAGCACCCACCCACAACTTTTCTTTTTGGTCAGTTTTGGGGCCTGAACTTGGGCCCTGGGCTCTGTCTGCTCAAGGCAAGCGCTCTACCCCTTGAGCCATAGTGCCACTTCGGTTTTCTGGTGGTTCATTGGAGGCTAGAATCTCACAGGCTTTCCTGCCCGGGCTGGCTTTGAACCGTGATCCTCAGATCTCAGCCTCCTGAGTAGCTAGGATGACAGGCGTGAGCCACCAGCGCCTGGCTTTCCCGCTGCTAATGGAGAGCAGGAGGCCTTGCCCCGGTCCACATGCAGGCAAGGAGTTCTGGGGTGCCACCGTGATTTGGGGGAGATGCTGTGGCCCAGGACAGAGATGGAGAGTGGCCCCTGGGTCTCTACTCCCTGCACCATGTCCCTGGATGTCTACACATGACCACATGACTGCCTCCGTGGGGGGGGGGGGGGGTCTGTGGTTCCCCTGGGCTTGAGGACCTGCAGGAGTCCATCTAATTGATAGGCACAGAAGATGGACCTGGGTTCCATTTGTGGAAGCCGTGGGGCCCAGGCTGACGCTCTGCCTTGTGATTTGTCAGCAGCACGGTTGGGGCGTCGGTGGCCCCAAGGCCATGACCCAGGGCCGTCACTGGCCCTCTGCAGGGCTCAGGGAATGACCGTGGCCCAGGCTCCTGCTGTGGTCCAGCCATGCTGAAGCCCAGCTTGGTCCTCTCAGGGCTCCCACAAAACCCGCCCCGGCCCGCGCAGCCTGCGCTGAGCCTGCCGGGGCTGTGCACCGCCTTCCTCCCGCCAGGCCACTGGGTTCTCTCTGAACCTGGTCCTTGGCGAGCTCCCGGCAGCTTCTCACAGGGTCTGGACGCTCAGGGCGGAGTCTGGTGAAGCTCACCCTGCTCGTGGCTCAGGCCCGCAGGCCCCGCGGCTGCAGCAGGACCTCTCAGACCCAGCGACTCGGGCTGGGGACCCTCTGAGTGCCTCCCCTTTCTCCTCTGTGCTTGGGGTCTTCAGGAATGCGCCCCAAATAGAAGCCAGGTCGTGGGCAGGGCTTCGTGATGCCCACAACCCCCCTCAGCTCTTCCTAAGCCCAGCCCAAGGACTGAGGTCCTGCCACCGCCCAGGCTGCAAGCCCGGCCTCCTGGAAGAGGCGCCGCCAGCTCTGCCAACAGCCCCTGATCCTGAGACCACCTTCACTTCAAACCTCCCCAGAGCTTCCCCACGACCCTGGTGCGCTCGAGCGCGCGCACGCACACACACGCACACGCGCAGCGTGCACGCACACAGACACGCGCGCATGTACACACACACACGCGCGCACACACACACGCGCACACACGCACACGCACGCACACACGCACACGCGCAGCGTGCGCGCACACAGACACGCGTGCATGCACACACACACACGCGCGCACACGCACACACAGACACGCAGCCAAGCGGAGCAATTTCTTCAACGCCAGCAGCGGTCAAGGTCACAGCCTCGTCCCCCATGTCCCCTCCCCACTTGGGAACTGGACTCAGGGCTTCACCATCTGTCTGAAAACAATGAGTAGGAATCGCCAGCACTGCGGGCTGGGCCATGTGGGAGGTGGGGGTGGGGCTGTGGGGTCATAAATCCAGAAGGTTCCCAGCTGAGTCAGCCTTCCTGTCGGTGGGCCAAGAATCCTCGGCCTGCCCCCCCCCCCCCCCCAGCAGCTTCCCGCAGCCTCTCGGCCAAGCCAGGCAGCTGAGGCGGCTCACAAGGCCGGGGTCTGCTGGGGGAGGGGGGGTGTGGGAGAGAGGGGTGCAGGGGGGGTGCGGGGGCGGCCTTCACCCTCCAGGCTGGGGCTGCAGGGAGGCCAGCAGGGCCACAGGGCCCCCCCCCTGCCGCCCCGCCCCGCCCGCCCCCCGCCCCCCCCCCCCCCCCCCCCGCTCTTCCCCTGTCTGAGCTGGGCGATCGCGGCCTGTCACCCCTTAGAGAGGAGGCTGCTGGCCTCCACAGGACGTGCTTGCTGGGCTGTTTTTCTGTTTTTCCTTTTTCTGCTCATTTGAATAAGTTGCTTGTGTACCCCAAAAAAAACCCCAAAATCGAGGTTACAGAGCCAGATCTGCACCTCCACGTCTTTTCGGAAACCACACACCTGGCAGACCGGGAGGCCTCCATGCGACCGAGGTCAGCCAAGGCAAAGGTCACCGGGGCTGGACACCGGTGCTGCGCCCTGCTCCCGGCCCGCCCACCTCCCTGCTCCTGGGCTCTTCTGGGGTTCCAAGCCTCACGTGGGGGGCAGAGGCGAGGCCCCTGAGCCAGCATGGACACCAGTGTCACCAGGAGCGGAGGGAGGGGCTCTGCTGCTTCACAGGGCCGCGGGGGGCTGGTGGGGGGACTCAGAGGTGAGGGAAGACCCCAGGCTCTTGGCATCTCCAAGAATTGAATGAAGCCGGACACCCATGGCTCACGCCTGTCATCCTAGCTACTCAGGAGGCTGAGATCTGAGGATCATGGTTCAAAACCAGCCCGAGACTCTTATCTCTAATTGACTACTCAAAAAAAGCTAGAAGTGGCGCTGCGGCTCAAGTGGTAGAGCACTCACGTTGAGCACCGAGAAGCTCATAGACAGCACCCAGGCCCTGAGTTCAAGCCCCAGGACTGGCAAAAACAAAAAAACTGAGTGACAATGCACACAGCGGCAAAGTGGTGAGTGAGGAGAGAGAGAGAGAGAGAGAGAGAGCGCCTGTTGGCGGTACCCGCTGTCCCTCGGTTTGGTTAGTACTGCCCTGGCAGTCCCCCCTCCCAGGGAGAAATCCTAACCCCAACTGTCCCTCACGGAGGACACCTGGGAGGCCTTGGACGACACAGGACTCAGGTCTCCTAGGTCAGGAGAGGGCAGGTCAGGTAACCTGACCTCCAAGGAGGAGGCCCTGGGTACGGGAGCACCCGCTGGGATGAGGAGTGGCAAGGGCAAAGGTCCTGAGGTCAGGACTGTTTGGTCCAAGGAACGGAGCAGACGCACTGGGTGCCGTAGGAGGCCTCAGCAGCCGGGGCTCCCTGAGTCCAGCCAGCAAACGCGGCAGCTTCCCGAAGGAGAACGCCAGGCGGCTTGTCCAGACCAGCCCCTCCTGGCCCGGGCTTAGCGCCTCTCCACGGGCGCTTCCCCAGGGGGCCCCTGGTGACCAAGCCCCCCACGCCCCTCAGAAGGGGTGTGGAGCCACTCTGGGCCCTGTGCTGTGAAGGGGGGGGAGGGGAGGGCAGGCACCCTCAGCCATGCCCTCGTGAGGCACGGGAGGGGGGGGTTCCCAAGACTCCCGAGGAGGGAAGCAGGGTGCTGCGAGCCATTACTGGGGCACGGAGAACCTGGAGGGGGAAAGGGGCCGGGGAACACAGCCCAAGAGGGGTCAGAATCTGACCCCAAACCCTCCACGGAGGCCTCAGCCGGACAGGTCACAGCGCCTCTCCAATGGCCATCAGAGGCCATGGCCCCATGGTAGATGGGGGAAACTGAGGCTCTGCCCCTGGAGGGCAGGTTCTGGGCCTAGCTCCCTCCGGGGCTGGGTGGGGCGTGGCTGCTGCTCCCGGATCCTCTTCCCTCTGCATCTGGGTGGTCTGGGCGGGGAGAGGGCGGGCAGGGAGCTGTCCTCACCCCCCATGGCCCCCTGCCTGTACTCCAGGCCTCTCAGAAGCCCCCACACCCCAAACACAAGGCCTGTTGACGCCAAACTGTGACAGCCCCTGGCGGGCTGGGGCAAAGCTGGGATTCAACAGCAGACACATGTACCCCAGTTCTCAGGCTGGACTCGGGGTGCCTGCACGGCGAGGCTCCTGGCCTGTGCTAGAGGCTCCAGCAGAGGGGCTCTGGCCTTGTGCCCCGGGCGGGGGGCTCCCAGAGCCCTATCCCTAACGCCATCCTTTTGGGGTCCCAAGCGCTCGGGTGGGCCCCGGCGAAGTCCTGGTGTACTGCCTGAGCGTGCTCTGCGGGGGAGGGCACCTGGGCCAGCTGAGACGCACCCCCAGCGGCCACCTGTTCTGGTGCGTGTGGCTGCCTAGTCTGCCAACCTGTGGGTGTGAGGCAGCCCGGGAGGGAGCCCCGGGGTGCCACTCACCACTGGAGGCTGATGGGTAGTCAGCCTGGTGAGACAGCCCCCCCCCCTCGCTCCCCACTTGTCCTGAGCCCATCAGGAGTCTCAGCAGGTAAGTTCACCTTGGTGTCTACCTTGCAGGAGCCTGGGCTCATACAGAGAACGGCCAGCTGAGCTGGAGCAGGGGGAGATAAGGGGACCAGCCTTGGTGCCTGGGTGGGTCCCTGTGTCCTTTCTGGGACCATACCCCCTGCCTTCTCCCCAAGATCTTGTGCTTGTGGTCCGGACCCCACTTCTGTGACTTGGAGCCCATGGGTTCTGACAGAGATGCAGATTCTGACCAGGGTCTGCACTGGAATCCAACAGCTGCTTTCTTCTGCTGGGACTACAGTAGGTGCTCAATGAGGGACAGTGTGGGGCGGGGCATGCCCCGCCTCCCCGGCCCTGCAGGAGCTCTGGCTCCTGGCACCTGGTCAGGGCTGGACTGGGCACTGCTCTTATGACTGTTTTTGAAGTTATCTGGACCCGTGTTTCCCTGTACCCAGCGTAGCACAGGAATGCTTCTCCTTCTTTGATTGTGGTGATTTTTTCCTTCTGCTGGACAAGCATCTGCCCTGTGCCACCAAAATCCTAGGCAACGGCCCCTTGCTCTTGAGGAGCAGGACATAAATCCGAATCCCTACTCTACTTCCTGCATTTATGAAATGAGGATTTTCATGCTGGACCGGGCAGTGTTCAAGCTCTCTGGGATTGACTAGTGATGTGTGTCCTGGGCAGCATCATCACTTTGTCTACTGGGGAGGCTGGGGGACAGGATTCTGGCATGACTCCCCTCTGCCGGGAGCTGGGAGGTGAGGCCAGGCTGGCTCTGCATGGCTGCTGTCCCAAGGCTGGATGCTCCCAGGTAACAGACCGCGACTGGCCTGCAGTTCCTAGGGAAGCAGAAGGAAGACGGGGTAGGAGGTGGAGCCCGCAGGCCTGGGCCCCCCACAGTCCTGGGGGGGCCTGCTGCTGTACACTCATCCCTCCTTGTTCCAATTATGTCGAGAGAGTCATTATAATTTTATGTTTTCTAGATTAACACTTTTGCTCAAGGGCAGAGTAATTAGCAAGCGGCTGGGAGTTTATAGCATTGCTGCCAGTCTGGAGGGGAAGTTTTCTGAGAGAATCTTGGGGAAAGTCCTGAATGGGGGTGTAAGCCAGCAGGTGAACCAGGACAGCCCCCATGCCCCCCAATCCCTGTCACACCATCCAGGGCCTCCACTGTGGATTGGCCTCCCCTCCCCGTTTCTCCTCTCCATCGCCGCCTCTCTTCCCGGGGTTCCTGAGGACATGGAGCCGCTGGATTACGCAGGATCATCTCCTGGGCCTCAGTGTAATGGCCCTGGGCGGGGAGCAGGTACTGTGCCCCCCAGCTGACATCCTCTGAAAGCATTGGGGAGGGGGCTTCATTTATTTAATTAAATTGGGGGCAGAAAGGTGCTGGGGGTGGAACCCAGGGCCTCGCACGGCCAAGCAAGCGCTGGAGCACTGAGCCTCCCGCAGCCTCTGTGGCCGCAGTGGCACTGCCTTGGTCTCCAGACCCCTCAGGCTCTCTGGGGAGTGGGCTACCGCCAGTGGGGGACCAGCCGGGCCACCAGGGAGGCGAAGAGGACGTGGAGATGCCCAGTCTGCAGTCTGCTGGGTCTGTGTCTCTGGAAAGGACAGCTCTGCTGGCCACAGCCGCCCGCAGAGCTGGGCTCCAGGTTACTTCTGGGGAGCCAGGGCCGGCAGAGCTGCAGAGCTAACCTTGACCTCAGCCCAGAGGACAGTGCCTGCTCTCCAGCTGCTTGTGGGTGGTGGGAACTGAGGCACTGCGCTGAGCATGTGCTCACTGTGGGAAGAACAGGGCGTCCCACCCAAGGACAGCCCAGCCAGAGTCCTTGAAAAGGTCAGCTGGCCAGCAGTGACTCAGACAGCCTCTGGGAAAGAGCCACCAACTCATGGAGCAGCACCGATTAACCGCTTGCTGTGTACCACACATGCCAGCATCCCACAGTGCACATGCCAGCATCCCATAATGCCCATGCCGACATCCCATAATGTCCACGCCAGCATCCCATAATGCCCACACCGACGTCCCGTAATGCCCACGCCGATGTCCCGTAATGCCCACGCCGACATCCCGTAATGCCCACGCTGGTATCCCACAACACGCGTGCCGTCGTGCGCCTGGCCGCACACAGGGAGCCGGGCGGAGCGCGCAGGCCGCCATCTGCCCCGACTGCGCCGACCGGCCAGGTGTGGAGACCAGGCGCCTAGCAAGCCCCGGGATCCACGGCTGCGGTACCGAGCCCGAGCCAGCGGGCCCCTGGGCGCAGCGCGGCGAGCGGGGGGACAGCAGAGCTCCTGCAGATGCGGCGAGGCGGGGGGCGCGGGCCCGTGGGCGCGGAGTGGGGGGCATGTGCCCCGTGGGCGCGGAGTGGGGGGCATGTGCCCCGTGGGAGCGGAGTGGGGGACGCAGGCCCGTGGGTGCGAGGCGGGGGACGCAGGCCCGTGGGCACGGAGTGGGGGGTGCGGGCCCCATGGGCGCAGCGGGGCCAGGCCGGCTGGCCAAGCGCCCCACGTCCCACACACCGCCTTCTGGCGGCCGCGGTGGAGTTTCCAGTCCCGCCAGTGGCCGGGGCGCCCGGAGGTCTGAGGATGCGCGTGGGACAGGGCGCCGCCCAGGGCCGGCACAGCCCTGGGCACTGGCCACGTGGGCTCCCCCGGGGGCAGGGGCCCCGCTGTGGCCGGCCCCACCGACCTGGCGCGGCACCACGCTGGGGCCTCCAGCCGGCTGGGCCTCAGGGTCCCCACAGGGCAGCCGTGGGGGCCCCGTGGCCTCAAGCCGGCTCTGGCAGAACAAGGCCGGGCCGGCCCTCCGCCCATGCCCGGGGCGGGCCTTTGCGCGGGTCCCGGTGGCACCGTGTGGCCGAGGTGGAGTCACCGCTGCCCTCGGTGGCAGCCCCTCCTCGTGGGCACTGGGACTGCAGCCAGCACAGCCTGAGGGCAGAGGCGCTCGGCCCCTATCAGCTCTGCGGCCACCCCCGGAGGCCAGCCAGAGCCCTGCCCGTTGGCACTTGCTTGCAGCTCCTGTGGGGGGAAGGGCAAGGACACGGGGTCCTTTGCAGAGCCATCCTCTGGGGAGCAGGCCGGAGAGGCCACGCAGGGGAGCGGGGCCCAGCCGGGCTGCCCCCGTGCCCAGCTGCCCAACTGTCTGACCTGGAAAACACACATCTCCATGCCTCCCATTCAGCCTGGCTCGGGGATCATTTATTCACTCAGCGAGCACTCGCTGCCCCTCTCCCCCACTGTTGAGACACAGTCCTCTGTTTTGTGCTTGCCCGCTTTGAGGAAGCAGCGGCCGCGAGCCACACTTATTTGGTCCAATGTGCAGAGGGCTCTGGCTATGGGGACTCAGGAGGAGAGGCTGCCTGCCCCTTGGAGGCTGGCTGCTCTGTGCCTCAGTTTCCACATCAAGGCATGAAGAGCCGCACTGTGCCATGGGCACAGACCCAGCACGACCTGTCTGCCCCCAGCAGTGCTTTGCCAGGGGACCGTGGGGCTGTCCTTTCCAGGCAGGTCCCCCACAAGCCTGCTCCCCCACTTCTCTCAGCTGCCCTTGTCTGTGGAGGCAGGAGGCAGGGAGGCCGTCCCAGGGCCGAGCCTTGGCCCCAGGCTCCCAGGGCCGAGGACAGCACGGGGCCAGTTGGTAGTTATGCCAGTTTCTGCCTGACTCTAAGTCCTCCAGGCCTGGCCAGGCCCTCAGCTCCGTCCTCCTGGGACACTGAGGCCTTATCTTCCAGAATTATTTTGAGAAGTCCTGAAATGGGAGCTTTAGCCCAAGGAATCTTCCAGACATGAGAAAAGCCGCTTCCCTAAGAAGGAAGGCAGGAAGGCCTTTGGAGAGGACATAGTCAGGGGTCACCTGACTATGGTTCAAATTCTACCTTTCACTTTGGGTGATCTGGAGCGGGTTCCCTGACTGCCCCTGCCCTCGTTTCCCCATCTTACCGCGGTGAAGCTGGTACACTGCAGTCATCAACACAGGCCATGCCTGTGGTGTTGTGACGGTTTATGCTGTTAGAACAGGAGGGCTGGGGACCTTCCCTGGCAGGAAGAGGCGAGTGGCAGGCAGTGAGCTCGTTGGTGCCTCTCAGGATGGTTGGTGCCCCACAGGGATGCACCCAGTGCTCCTCTGCAACCTCTGCGCTTGGGGGGAGTCTGCAGCTGAGTTGGAGTTGGGTGGAAAAGATGATCATGGTTGATTAGTGCTGCCTAATATCTGTGAGCATGATCATCAATGAGTGCTGCCTGAGTTCAGTGAGAAGGAAGGTCATGATTGATTAGATATGCCTGACTCCAGTGAAAAGATGGCCATGGTCAATTAGTGCTGTCTGAATTCAGTGGGGCGTGGGGGGGGGGTGGGGGGGGAGGAATGATCATGATCAATTAGTGATGCCTGAGTTCAGTGGTGAGGATGATCATGTTCGATTATTGCTGCCTGAGTTCAGTGAGACTGATGATCATGGTGGATTAGTGATGCCTGCCCTGAGCATAGGTATCAAGCATTAGCTGGTGAGCTGTGGACTTCCTGTTGTTGGGCTGATTAATGTCTTCCCTGTAGGTTGAGGGCAGTAGCTGTTGATTAGGACTGTACATCAGGATCTTTTAGTAAGGATTAGATAAATGCATGTTTCCTGGCTTTGCACTGACCTGAAGTAGGGTTTGGACCACACTTAAAACTCTCTAGGGAGTTCTGATGCCTGCCCGGACTGAAACTTGCCCATAGAGAAAAAGAGGGTCCCCAGCCCAGGCCTAGGGCCGTACAAACAGCTTGGCCCTTACTCCCATGTGGAGAACATGGCTCTGGAGGAACAGGTTCCTGAGAACCACAGGGAGATGCTGCTGCCACCACCTCCATTGGCCCGCCAGCCTGCCTCCTCCCCCAGTGAGAGGTGGGACCCCCACTCTGCCCGTCTGCAGCAGGCCAGGCTCCCCCTTCCCTGTTTCAGATACTTCCTGCCCCCCCCTCACACACACACACACACACACACACACACACACACACAGGAGTGACCATAACGTGACCTGCTTTCCAGATGAGGGACAGCATTGGCTCATGGAAAGGGTGGCCTGGGGACTCGGGTGGTCCTGGGACCACTGCCACCCTGGGTTGTCTTGGACCGTATGTGGGGGCTCCCCCTCCATCCCCACCTCCCCATCCTCAGCCTCTCCCACCTTAAGCACCTGCAGAGGAAGAAGGCTGGTCCCCTGGGAGCTCCCAGCCCCCTAAGGCTGCCCCCACTGTACCCCCTAGGCAGAAGGGAGCTGCAGTGTCTGCCATCCTAGCTACTCTGTGGCTGAGATCTGAGGATCACAGTTCAAAGCCAGCCCAGACAGAAATCTGTGAGAGCCTATCGATCTCGCTCTCTTTCTTGCCAGTCCTAGGGCTTGAACTCAGGGCCTGGGCACTGTCCTTGAGCTGCTTTTGCTAGCACTCTACCACTTGAGCCACAGTGCCACTTCTGGCTTTTTCTGTATATGTGGTATTGAGGAATGGAACCCAGCAGGGCTTCATGCATGCTAGGCAAGCACTCTACCATTAAGCCACATTCCCAGCTCTCTGAGTTTCTTATCTCCAGTTAACCAGCAAGAGCTAGAAAAGCTGGAAGTGGAGGTGTGTGTGTTGGGGGGAGAACTCCAGAAGGCAGGCAGCCAAGTGTCCTACTCAGTGGGTCAAGCCAGGACCTGGCCACAGGACTGTGGGCAGCGTCCCAGGTGGCCGGGAAGTCAGGCTAAGGCCCTGGGGAGGAACGCCCACAGGCCAAGGTGTTTGGGGGGGGGGTGTGGGGGGGGAGCCGCGCTGCCTGGCTGCCTCTGCCCCACCTTCCTGGACTCTCCTGAGCTTGCCTGGTGATTTTTCCTCACTCCCAGGCGCGCGGCCTCCTTTGAAGTCTCGGCCAGCTGACTGGGTCAGCCTGTTCCCCAGCCTGGCCCCGGGCCTGGCGGAGAGGCCTCTGGGAGATGGTGTGCTCCGCCGAGCACTGAAATTACATTTTCAAATGATCCCAGGAAGAACACACATCCGTCCTTCTCAGAAACAGCCCAGCAGCCTGTCCCTGGGGACCTCAGGGGTCCCCGAACGGCTCACCCCATGCCCGAGCAGCTGCAATCCTGGCAGGGGAAGAAGCATTGGGAGTTCCAGGCCAAGCTCTGGAGCAAGACCCTGTCCCAAAGAACCAACCCACCAAAGAAGCAACGGGCTGGGCCGCCCCTGAGTCTCTGGCCTGGAAGTTACTCTGAAGAGCCCACACCCCTAGCGTCACCCCAAATTAGGCCCCCACCAGCTGTGATCTCATGGCCGCTGCTGGAAAGTGATAGTAAGGGGGGCTGGGCGAGAAAACAGGGCTGAGATGGCTCCTCTGCCACTGGAAGTGTGTCGGCCCGCCACACCCCTCTGGTGGCCTGGAACCTTCTGGAGAGCTGGGGAGGTGGCAGGGTGGCTCAAGTAGTAGAGTGCTAGCCTTGAGCTGAAGAGCTGAGGGACAGTGCCCAGGCCCAGAGTTCCGGCCCCACGACAGGACCCCCCCCCAAAAAAAAAAAAAAAAGATCTAGGCTTAAGGATCAGTGAGCCGGGTACTGGTGGCTCATGCGGTAATCCTAGCTACACAGGAGGCTGAGATCTGAGGACTGAGGTTGGAAGCCAGCCCAGGCAGGGAAGTCCAGCAGACTATTGGGGAAATGGGGGGGGGGGCGGTTTCTTATAATTTTTTATTGAGATTAAAGTGATTTCAGAAATTTCACAGTGTAGTGAAGTCACACTTTTTTGTTGGTGTTGGTCGTGGGGCCTGAACTCCCGGCCTGGGCGCTGTCCCTCAGCTCTTCAGCTCAAGGTGAGCGCTCTACCACTTGAGCCACAGCGCCACTTCTGGCTTTTTTCTTTTTGTTTATGTGGTGCTGAGGAATTGAACCCAGGGTTCAGGCATGCAAGGCAAGCACTCTACCACTGAGCCACCTTTCCAGCCCCGAGACTCTTTATCTCCAGTTAACCACCAATAAGCCTGAAATGGAGCTGTGGCTCAAGTGCTAGAGCACTAGCCCTGAGCAAAAAAACTCATGGACAGCCCTAAGTTCAAACTTCAGGACCTATACAAACAAAAAAGCAACTGAAACAAAAAAGTAAACCATTATATATATATGTATATATATGTGTGTGTGTATATATACACACACATGCACACATCTGAGGGAAGCTGGGAGGAGGACACAGAATCAGAGGGAAACGGGGAAACATACAACAGAGAGGCCCATCAGCTGCACTGGACATGGATGAAAACAAACTAAGCAACACCAGGGCAGCGATGGGAGGGAGGGAAGGAGAGGGAAAGAGGGGGCAGCTCACACTAAGCAAAAGGAAGGAAATGTGCACACCACCCGATGTGGAAGAAATAGTTGTACTGTCCAAGCTCATAGAATTCACCGACATCATAGACCACAATATGACAATTGCCTCATGAAGGTTAAAATGTGTTGGGCTGGGAAGGTGGCTCAGTGGTAGAGCGCTTGCCTTGCATGCATGAGGCCCTGGGTTCGATTCCTCAGCACCACGCAAACAGAAAAAGCCAGAAGTGGGTGCTGTGGCTCAAGTGGCAGAGTGCTAGCCTTGAGCTGAAGAGCTGAGGGACAGCGCCCAGGCCCAGAGTTCAGGCCCCACAACCAACAACAACAAAAAAGTGTGACCACTATACTGTGACATTTCTGAAATTTACGTAATCACTTTAATCTCAAAAAATTATAAGAAACCGCCCCCCCCCCCCATTTCCCCAAGTGTGTTTGAAATGACTGATGCACTCTCATGAACTCAGGAAAAGTGATGGTGGTGGCTTCCGGCCCGTGTCATGTGCCAGATGCCAGGCGGCAGGAAGAAGGCTGAGCCACGTGTTTGACCCCATGGAGGACAAGTGTTCTTCCCGTCCTGCCCCCCCCCCCCCCAGTGAGCACTGTCCTAGGAGAGAATTGAATTCGCTCTTGGCCAGGAGACAGTAAAAGAGGGCCCAGGAGAATTTGCTGGAAGTAACAAGGTTCCAAGATGGGTGATGGCCCTGATTTTTCCCAAAGGGAAAATAATATGGGTCTGAGACCCCCAGATTGGGGGGGATGGGGGCTGACAGCAAGCCTTCCCAGACGAATTTGGGGATAGTCACTCAGATGGCTGGGGCTGGGGAGAAAAAACAGAATCCTGAGACAGGTTCCCAAAGCTACCTCTGGTCAGCCATAGCCCTGCACTCGGGGGAGCACACCCCAGGAGGCCAGAGGCCCTTCGGACCCCGCTGGCTGGAAGAGCCACAGAAACAGCTTCTTATCTCAACAGTGGGGCCTCTGTCCCTTCCTTCCTTGTTACCTGCCTTCAGTTTTCTGTGTCCACCTTCTGTGGTGCTCTAGCCTAATAGCAGGCAATTTCCCTAATAATTGCCCATCGGCGGCTCAGCTGTATCTTAATAACTCATATTAGTTGATAATCTTCCTGGCAAGGGAAGGGAAAGAAATCCAACTCAGCCTGAGAGAGATGTCTGGATGTTCCGCTCTCAGGTGTGGGTGCGCCCAGCGCGTACGAGTCACCGTGGGGAGTGTGCATGCTGCTGCGTGTCTGACCTGCTTTCCGTGGCATTGATTTCATGCTAAGTGGGACTTCCTCAAGCAGAGCAACTGTCTGGCTGCCTCTTATCACCTTGGCAACTTGGGCGGGTCACCCCGAGCCAGTCCCTGAGGTTCTGCAGGGTTAGGTCACTTCCTCCCTGGGAGATAGGTGGGAGAGGAAGGAAGGGCCGCAGCAGGGGCCTGGAGAAGCTGGGGAGGGCGGTGGGGGCGGGGCCCTGCCGAAGCCCCGCCCAGAGCGGTGTGGCCGAGAAAGACACCGCCCACTTAAGCCCCGCCCTAAGGCGGGCGTGCTCGTGGATCCCCACACCCTGTGGGGGCGTGGCTTAGGAGAGCATCAGTGGAATGCCTTTGTGGGCATTCACATGGGCGTGGCCAGCGAAG